TAGCTTCATCTCCAGTCGGGTTGAGCCACGTCTCAGTAATAGCCATAATATCAATGTTATGATCAGTGGTGAAATCATTTATACACAAAGTTTTGTTTCTGACAGATCTTGCATTCAGCAAACAAAGTTCAAAAGAATTTTTACATTTTTACATTTTTCTTCTTTCCGACATTTTTTAAACCATGAAAATCTTTTTATTCCCTTACATAACAAGCAACAGAATAAATCATTTGCACATTGACATCTTCTTTACTCTACTTCAAAATTTTAATTAAACTTTTTCGCAGTTTGTTTATTTAACAATGATTTGAATTAAATTAAAACTTCTTATTAACCTCAAACGATATGTACTTACATCAAGACCTTGCTGGGTGCTGCATGTAATTAAATCAGATTGGACTGTAGTATTGTTGTACACACTTGAATTCTCTATGGGGTTGGAATATAAAGACCGACAGGTGTTTGCAATGACAACAATCACCCGAAAGGCACAGCACAATAGATGTTCCTTGTTGAATATACCCGTTCATCTAAGCCTTCCTCTTTTGATGTCGAAGAAACCAAGTTTATTAGTCGCAAAACTGCAAATAATCTTCTGTAAAGTTTTAAAACTCTTCTTTGGTAAAAGCCAGTTTTATCTTGGCATAAAAAACTTCGACTCATTAGAATTAACTTCGCCGAGAAGATCTTTCATCCAAAATGGAAACATCTTCAAACAACTCGACTTTGTCAGGGAGTTTTCTTTTCAGACGAATACCGTATTCAGTGACCGTTGCCGTGGTTTTTCCAAACATTGCTGGTAACATTATTTGTTGCGTGGTCATTGCCAAGACAAAATCTCTTCACAATTTCTGTAATTTTCTTCTTATGAACTTGGCTGTTTCTGACATGATGGCGGGATTGACAGAACTCTATGTCACCACTTATGATAGTATAAGTACGACATTAGAAGTCGAAGAATCGGCTACACTGTTGAGTGTCAGATTGTTTGTTCATCCCATGATCCAAGTCTCGATTCTCACTGTCACAGTGATTGCGATAGAACGCTTCTTAGCTATAACCCAGCCCTTCAAAGTCATGAGGAAAGGAAGAACCAAGTACCTCAAGTTCATCATACCACTCGTTTGGATTCTGGGGTTTGTTTTAACCATCCCAGTCTTTATCACTTTCTRTGGGAAGTCTGGAAAGGAGGTTATGGAGGTACAAGGTACTAAAGAGCTGATGATCGATGGAATATTCTCAATGGTTTCGGCCTACTTGGTACCTCTTTCTTTAATGATTTTTACATTTTTTAGAATACTGTTCGTTCTAAAACGAAGAAATAAGCCCTTCAGATCCCAGCAAAGCCTGGCGAACGTTCAGTCGCAAGCGAACCAACGTGTCTTGAGGCTCCTAGGAGCAGTCATTCTCTCTCACAACGTTTGCTTTCTGCCATACGCTATCGTGCAGTTCCTTATGACTCAGCCCTTTGGCTTTAACATAATGGAACAATCAAATACTGATGCTTATCAGATTACTTACTTTATGCAGTTCCTGAGTCCTTGTTTGAATCTCTTGATATACTTTGCCCATAGTAGAGTGTTCAGAGATGCGTGTAAAAACATCTTATGTCGATCAATAAAAATCAAGCCTTGAGATGCGAATGTGCTGCAGAGCCTTTGTGCCTCGACTTCAAAGACAATAGTTTATTACGAGACAGACATAGTGTAGTCATATAGCACAACAAACTTTTCTATCTTGTATATAGCCTATTGCAACCCGAAAATCGCGGGATGAGATAACGTGATCTGCGTGACCTTTCTTTATCATAGCAAAAAATGTTAGTCAAACTTATAGAACTCTTGTATATAACTTCTCGCCATCTGGAAAGTGCAGGAAAGTATCACGTGATCTGTAAAATAGCGGGAAGTAATCACGTGATCTGTAAACTGGCGGGAAGTAATCACGTGATCTGTAAAATGGAGGGAAGTAATCACGTGATCTGGGATCTTTCTTAACAAAAACACCCCTATATACATGAATAAAAAAACTGCAGTCAAATTTGCATTTTATTATTAACAAAATACTCATTTTTGACCGTTTCCTAGCTAGACAGGTCATAATATCCTAAGAGATTATTTATTCATTATTCATTATTATCGGCGAAGACTTTTATCCAGTAATCCAATATATGATATCGGCATTACGGGCATGGAGTCCTAGAGACATAGGAAATTATTTACTTGTGCGTTAGCCTATATATAATCGGTTTAACTCAAAAATAAAAATAATCATAATCATGAAGTATGCATGCAGTTCATGCGCTGCAAAAGATTTGCTTTTTTATTACTTTAAATTAAGTTAAAACCTTTTTTAGACTATCCACAAGAGAGTCAGTATTAGATATTACGTAATCTGGTAAACTGTTCAAGTAATTAATATTTTGATACTCAATAATTTTTGCTCGTGTAGAAATATTATTGTTAAATTTTTGTCAAAGAAAAACCCTTTTTGGGGGAATTTCTTTCTTGTCAAAATTATTACGAGAAGCTTCAAGTAGACATTAGTCTTGTAACAACTCTCTTTTAGTGCACTAGGGCACAGTAATACGCATGTGCAACCTTATCGACTCACAGGCTTAGACGCAATAGAAAATTAGAACAGGGGCTTAATTGACAGGAGGCAGGAACAATGGAATCTGGTCGAATCTGATTACATGAGAAAGAATTTAATTTCCCAGAGGAAAAAGACTCTATTGTTGTGCCTGCTGCCATGGCTGCTATCACGTGATAGTGCAAAGGCCGTAGAGAGGCTTTGCACCATCACGTGATGGCAGCCATGACAGGAGGCAAAACAATAGATCGATCATTTTTACCATGAATTCTTTCTTATGTAAATCAGACTAGACCACAATCAAATGTTCCTGCCTCCTGTCATTCGCTGCCATCACTTGATGGTGCAAAGCCTCTATAGTCCCCTTCACAGTTCCCTGCGCCATCTTGAAAGGTAGCCGTACCCTTGCATCAAAGCGAGACGAACTACGAGCTTGCAATGAAAGAGACCTTTTTTAACATCTTGGACAATAATTCACATGTCTCTTCATTGCTAGCTCACCGTTCGTCTCGCTTTGATACAAAGACACTACGGCTACCTTTCAATTGCAAGATGGCGCAGGGAACTGTGAAATGGACTATTAATCTTGCTTATCCTCTATGATTGTTCTGTTAATTTTTTAACAGGCCCAGAAATTATTTTTGAAATTTATATAGAGCTGAGAAATCTTTAATATTTACACCAAAATGCCACAGTTCCTAATCAGTTTGGAACATATCGCAAAATCTTTGATTTTAGTTCATTGATTCTCTTATTCAATGGTACCAACTTGGTTGCAATATCGTCGACCAGCCATGTCCAGACAGCACACTGCTCCTTTACCACAGTCATTGGAATCTTTACATGCCTTGAAGCCTGTGTAGTATGGTGATCGTAATGGACAGACGGCTGAAACTACGAAGGGAGAAAAAGAGGAGAGTCATAACCAATTATGGTTGGTTGCCTAGTTGCTGGGGTCTCTTGCTACGCTGTAAAAATTCTTTACAACCAACTACCCCACCCCTTTATTACGCCTTCGCCCTCTTGTCCTAGCTCTCTGCCGCCTTGCCCCCTCGATCCCTTCCTCCCTCCCTCCCTCCCTCCCTTCCCTAAGCATTCATCAACCAAACGGCCTAATGTAGCGTTGCTACTAATTTCCATACCTCTATTCACGCCTTCTACCAAAATTCTATTCCCCCTCCATGTGCCTTCCCTTCTCCTACCTTACTCAAATAATGGTCTCCAACCCCCCCCCCCCCCTCCTCCAGCTATCCCATCAGCCACCGGGAGTAGGGTTCCTTACCTCTAGGAATGCACATTCTCTTGCCGTACGAACAGTTGGTAGTACAGCATGCCATACCGTTCTCGAAACAATCATCGTCATTATTACAGGTGAATGAGTACAATAAGTTGAGACACGATAGACCCTTCGTCTCTGGACACGTTCCTATTGGGAGAGAGATTTGGAATATCACCATAACGACCACCACAGGAAGCCCAAGACATCTGGGTTTCTAGCATCCATTTAATCCAAAATACTCAGAAAATAATCCAACTCAGACCATTGAAAATTTAACTAAAGAAAGCTCAAAACCCAGATGTCTCGAATTATAGCTAGTTGTCTGGTTGTCGCAAAACTCAATGGGGTCGTAATGGGTTATTTTTTTGTGTCCTTAAACTTTAATTCTTGGGATCCCTGTGGTTGGTCACTGTCAAATGTCATCAAGTGAATGCAGAAGTTGGTATAAACTTTAAGACCCTTAAGCTACCTATACTCCATACTTAAAGAGTAAAACTGGACAGCATGCAGATGAGAAGAAAGTCTAATGGATTCTACATTGAAATGGCGCAAAAAATAGCTCCGTCAAGGCAATTTTTCGACGTTTTTCCTCGTCTGTCTCCGACACTGTTCAGTGATTCTTGCCAAGAAGTTGCAACCTGTTCTTGTAAAGAATTAAAGTCTTTTACATAGAAATTCTCAAGCATGTTCACTTCTTCTCTGCTAAGCATTGTAGGTGAGTAATAATATTAAAATGCGATAATTTTGAATCAGTTTAGTCATAGAATTTCATGTGTTGCTTAAGCAATTATTGGTTAAGAATTAATCTTATCTAGTTATTATCTATTATTTAAAAARATAAGGGTTTGCAACAAGGGTATTTATCCTTTTCCATAAAGTAACTTACCTCTGTTGATGATGGATCCTGTTAACTCTTCTAAAAGACCTTCTTTCTTCATATTTTGAATGGTCTGTTGTAGAGCTTTTACTGTTGACAGAAAGGATGAAAGAAAGATGAGTAATAGAGAAAAATTAGAAATGAATGAATGGTATTAGATTGAATGGGATTGATTTGAATAGGAAGAGATTTCTCTTGTTAGTCCTAATATCTAGCATGAGTACCTTTGTCAAAAGTATATTTTGGTTTGTCGTCACTTGTTGAGCCGTCGTCACTTGTCGAGCCGTCGTCATTGTCATCTGTACAAAACATGCAAATTTGTACAGAATTTAGATGTTAGTATGTGAAACATCATTAAGGTATATGCATACACACCTAAACAGTATTGCAGTTATTTGCATTATTGCACAGATCTAAAATATTCTTACCGTCACCAGAGGACTGTGGCTCTTCTTTGGAGGTCTTGTTTTTATGTGTTGATTCAGATTCTAGAAAGAGATATTATGAATATACACTTTTAAAAAGAGAGAAAGACTTTTTGCTACTTTTGGTGCACACCAGAGGAAAAGATTATTCTTTATTTGCTTTTGATTCCTTCATATTTTGTATCCTTCTTGTTTTCTGTCATTCGTCTCTCTTTCTTTTCCTTTACATTTCCCCCCTTTCCTGGTAAAGATTCCTGAAATTTATGTTTCCTCAATACCTCTAGGCCAAAAATAACCTCTTGTGTTCCCCACTCCACCCTTACACAAGGAAAATGTCAGTCAAGCGAGTTGTCAATGATATACAAAATACACTTTCCCCTCCCCTCCCTAGGAAATCCCTTCAGGGGTAGTGTCATTTACCTGGTATGTTTGATTTAGTTTCTGCCTGAGCTTGTCCACTTCCTGACCCATCGTCCTTTTGTATTTCTATCTTTGCTAGGGGAGGTTCTCCACTTCCACTTCCRGCTCCACTTCCACTCCCATGATCCTCTGCAGGTGACTTATCAAGCAAATTCAGAGCTGATTGAAAATTAAAGAAGGTAATTTACCATTCAAATCTAATCTATCCTAAATTTTTATTAGATAAAAAACTATGTCATTGTTACTGCGCATGCTCAACAATGCACACTTGTGCAATAAAAATAATTTTCTTCTAGCAAGAAAAATTACCATTTTTTAACTTGCTGTTATTCTTCCCTAAAAGTGCATCTTGAACAGACTCTAGGAGTTAAAATAAGTAAATACGTTACAAATGAGCCTAGMCTTAAGAAAATGCACCATTGGAATTATTCTAAGGGACTCACCATCGTCATCCTTGGTCTGACTCTCTGAATTACTGTCTGCTTCTGCTTTTGAAGCTGCACCACACATTGAAAAGATCAAAGAAAAACGCATTCAATGACAACACAAACAGTTGCAGCTAAACATTGATACCATTGTGGCTCTCTCTGTTTTAAAACTCTGTAAAAGGGAAGAAGCTGCCAATTCACGTTGTCATAGAAGTCGATRTAAATTAGAAAATGAAAAAGTAGACGTGCATTCTGGTCTAGCTTCGGTATCTTGTTGACCATGTCTTACATGGTACTGCTTTGAGTGCATTCTGGTCTAGAGTGGGTACAAATATCTTGTTGAGCATGCCTTACATGATGACCTTTTATCCCAGTTAGTTAGTTTAACTAATGCAGGGCAAGATACAAATGCCAAGAAAGCAGTTTTCAAATRATTCTCTTTACTTACCATCCACACTATCTACTTTCGATATTGGTTTGAAGTTAACATCGATGTCGTGCGGTAGTTTGACGATGTCGGCACCAGGCTTGGGAATGATATCTGGGGAAAAAGCATGCGTACGTAGTTCGCTGTTATTGGTTTGAATATAATTGCTTATATTTTTGCACTATAAAACTAAATTTAGGACACATGAGTTCCCTCAAGGTTCATCACTGGGACCGGGATTTAGGTCACTTGAAATGGGAATGGAAATTCACCAACATAGGATTCCCCCAAGGTTCATCACTGACTAAGACCGGAATATACGTTACTTGGAATGGGAATGGGAAGTCACCAACATGGGATTCCCCCAAGGTTCATCACTAAGACCGGAATTTACGTCGCTTAGGAAAGCAGGATTTCCCAAATTGGAAGTTATCGAAAATTTATAATTACCCCACCTCCAAATATTAGAATTAGAATTTCTATCTCTTGTATACTCTTGACTCGTCACTTACTTTTTGCCACTGGTACGTGCATAAGTCCTTCATCAAGTTTCGATGTGAATTCTCTGATGTCAGACTTTTCAGACGCTTTGCGGAGCTCATCTAAAAATATCACAAGATCACACAACATAAGTTCATGAAGTGTTCAACAAAATCAGAGCCAATTTCATATTAATGCGAAAAACCTTGGCCAATGTTGCCGTGCCGTGACCGAAAATTGGACGAGGACATTTGTCGTGATTTCCTTACTTCACGTGCCGTGAAATTTGCTTTATAAAGGATATGATTAGTTCTTCTCAATGTACCTGGTGTAGTCCCTGATGTGTAAGTAGCAACAAAGCCAGCTTTAGGCCGACCGACTTTGGGTCCAGACTTAAAGCTGATCTTCATTTCATTGGATGCTGTATTGAACGTCTCTGGGAGTTGATTACCACAAAGCTTWCGGTAACCATCAGTGCCTTGTACTTCAAGCATGACATAATCTTGTTCGCAACTGTTGGTAAAATGAACAGAATTAGAGGTCGAATCTTGATAAGTGATTCATAATAGTCTTACATTTACTTTTACAAGCAAAGATGGTCAATGTAAACATGATGAATAGATGATGATGATGATGATATGACAGTGATGGTGCTGATTTTATGATCATGATGATGGTTAAGGATGCTGATTTGATGATGAGGATAGTTATGCTGGTGAAGTTGTTGATGATACAATGATGGTGATGATAATGTAGTGATTGTATTGATGCGATGATGACGTAATGATGTTGACGGCATGATAAAAAGGAAAAATAAATTTTTACTGTTCCTTACTCATCGGTCCCAACGTCAAACGCCTGGAAGGCCAGTTTCAGAGGAGCTTTAGCAACCCTGATTGTCGTGTTACATATTTCGTTGCCAGGATACGACTTTGGATAGTTTGGTGACGTAATCAATCCAATGGGTGACATAAGAGTTGCACCGCATTGATCTGGATGGGAAAGATAGACTAAGTCATTTCGTTTCATACCACAACTAAAAAACGCATCCCAGAAGCTATCCAGAAGCTACCCAGAAGCTACCCAGAAGATACCCAGAAGATACCCAGAAGATACCCAGAAGATACCCAGAAGATACCCAGAAGATACCCAGAAGATACCCAGAAGATACCCAGNCCAGAAGATACCCAGAAGATACCCAGAAGATACCCAGAAGATACCCAGAAGATACCCAGAAGATACCCAGAAGATACCCAGAAGATACCCAGAAGCTACTCAGAAGATACCCAGAAGATACCCAAAACGAGCTACCCAGAACCTATCCAGAAGCTACCCAAAAGCTACCCAGAAACTACCCAGAAACAAACCTCCAGGATTAGCTGGTCTGTCGATAGCCACATATGAAGCTTTGAAACCTTGACTAGTCTGAGAATCGTCAGAGTAGAATTTGACGCAAAGTTCGTTGCCCGTGGATATGTAGGGTGCAGGCTCTTCTTTACCACAGTACAGAGTCTCTGATCTATAGTTACTGCAGTCTCCATCCATCACCTTAACGAAGTCACCACTGCATTTGCGAATTGTTGATGTGGAATCGGGAGAAGCTATTTGCATTCTACAGAGGAAAAAAAAGGTTAATAACGAACTCCAGTAATCACTCAATATTGTAAACTGCGCAGCATTTGTGAGTGCATCTTTGCTGAACTAGTGTTATAAATCTCTTGCAGCACGTCGGAATGCAGCTCAATTTGGAGGACATTGGAGATTGAAATTGTTATTTTTTTGTCCTCCAAACATTGAGCTGCTTTGATGTCACATGCAAGGGTTCTGTGGTAATAWAAATATGGTCCTCACGTGTGGAAGTTGAGCTTGACGACTTTTCCAGGTGACACCTTGATAGAGTGGATGCACTCCTTGTCGTTAGGATAGTCAGAGGGGAAATTTGGCGAGGAAAACTGGCCTGCATCTGTCGTCAGATTGCCACCACAGCCTCCTGTGACATAAGAAAGAATAAACCCCTTTAGCTTTCAGACCACGTGTCATTCTCTTGAGAATAAGATTCTTTGTTTGAGTTGTATCCAAATTCATATGTCTCTTATTCATAACCGTTTAAAAAATATATGATACTCTAGGGAATGACACATTCAGTCTGAAATGAGGGAAGCAATTTACACCCAAGGTCTTTTGTGGAGTATTAATGATGATAAGCATTGACAGATGCGATCAGGCTGATATAATGTGTGCTGGTCAGTAAGGGTTTCTGGAATGAGCTAATCTCATAAAATTTTGGTCGTAGCGGAAAAACAATTCTGCACTAAATTGAAAGTCGAGAGTTTATTTAGCTGTCATAATTTGTGCGTACTTTTCCCTTCCTCTTGACTTTATCAAGGCTCATATTCTCGTCTACGTCCTCTTGTTCCGCAGATAGCAGGCCATAAAATAGACCTATTTTACGACGTGCATATCGTAGGGCAAAACTGGTAATAGGAATTTTCTTAAGGAAATCTGGAAATTCTTCTTTTACACACAACGATATCACTACGATATTGCTACCCTAAGGTCCTGATTAGATAAAGAGTTTCATATGTGAGTTTTAGAGAATGAATGCTAGAGYATAACAGAGAAGTAGTAAATCTTTGCACGATGCTCGTGTACCTTCTCCAGGGCACGGATTGTGGATGTTACAGTATTCTTTTACTGGAGGCTTCGTCAGACCATCACACAGGGCGTCATTGACTTCGTGTAAGAAGTCATTTGCATCTGGTTTCATACAAGTGACTATACGTGACTGTAGTCCACGCCCACATTTAGTAGAGCACTAAATACGAAATAATAACAGAACAGGAAACATGCTTCCATTATTGGACACTCCTGATTACTTGAAAGCGCTCGATTGAAAAGGTGTCTACGAAATGTTTTGCTTCTTTTCAGCAATCCTTCTTTCCTTCCTCTTTTCCTTCCTTCCTTCCTTCCATTCTTCCTTCCTTCCTACTATCGTTTCTTTCGTTCGTCCATTCCTTCGTTCCATCCATCCATCTTCTTACCCCTTCCTCTCTTCCCCCCTCTTCACAAAAGAAGTGATTCATAACTGAGAAGCTTTTTCTTCCATCCTTTCTTTCCCGTTCATCTATTCTTTCATTCTCTCTTTCATCATTCTTCCTTTCTTTCATCCAAATAATTGATTAATAGTAGAAGCTCACCGGTCCAAATGGCTGTGCAATCCATTCAGGCTGGCAAGCCATAGTATTACAAGCTTCAATTGTCTCTGGTTTAGAGTCGGTACAAAGTCTAGGATCAACATCATACTCGACTCCATCGGCTGCCACTTGCATACACTTGACCTCACGGGTACGATTACCGCCATTACAGGTCTTGGTACAATCTTCCCATCCTTCTGCTTTCCACCTTAATACAAAAGACAATAAACCTTCACATCTTAAAGAAGGCACATTAGCCTTATTTACGGATACAGATCTATAATTTTAATTTGGCGGTATTCACCTCAGAAGCAAAATTTCAGAAAGTCACAGGAGTTCCGGAATTAAATATAAGGTGCACTGGCCGCTACCTCATAGTGTTGGGCGTGAATAGTATTACGGTAATGCCGTGAATAGTGTTACGGTAATATGTGGCAAAGCAATAAGGTGTATATTCACTCACGATGGAGGGCATGGCTGTCTATTACAGTGCGTCTCTTGTCTAGGTGGCTTCTTACTTATGTCACATCTAGCCTCATTTACAGGTGAGCCATCATCTGTGCGACGGCATTCTGCATACGACACTTCTTTTCCTGAAAACAATAATGAGTTGCGTTAGAAATCACGATAAATTTCAGAGGCTGTTTCAGGGTCCATCTGTGAGTTAGCCGTGCCTTGACGTAGATTAGCCCAGAGGTTTTTCAGGGTCAAATTTGAAGGATATGATATGCTACAAACCTCCTCCACAAGCGACACTGCATCCCGACTTCACAACACCCCAATAGAACTTGTCATCCACATCAGGACTTCCATCAGGAGTTGCAATATGGCCCCTCCTGTCAACATCGAAGCCTAGATTCTTGAACCAAGTGACGGCGGTGCCCAGTAGATCTCCTGCCTTTGGCAAGACATCTTTCTTGGATCCTGTGGTAGAATTGGTCTTGTCTTTTGTTTGTTCCGGGCTGCAGGAGCTGCCGTCGCCATCACATACTCCACATCTGTCGACTACTGCTCTGGAGTCGATAACGTTATCGCATCCAACAGTCTGAAGAGAAAATATCCATATTCTATTATTAGGCCTTATGTGCCATTTAAGCGCGAGGAGGATAGGTACAGATTAACCCTACCTGTTTGGACTTAGTGTGGTACCAGGAAAGTAAGGGGACGGTAATGTGACCTCTTTTCAATCAACAGCCGTACAGAAATATTCGAAATTATCATAGGAGCAAGTTTGACGTAAGAGGTGCGAACAAAGAGGTCGTTAAATTTGGACCCCCAATGTACATACGCATACGTAATGCAGCTCGACTCAGAAGAAAATTGGAAGTAATGAGCGATGCATAAATACTGTGGTTTGTGAGGCAGATATTCATACGTGAATCATGCGTGAAATAAGGTACATTTTTYCCAGATAAGTGTTTCGTACCTTGCAAGCACCTTGGATGCACTTGTTAGGTGACGAGATATCACAGTTAGTTCCATCGATGACATTACCAAACGCAAACCCTAATCCAGTGCCTTTAATGAAACATCCCAACACACACTTGTTCTCTAAAGAAAACATCAATTAGAAAAATATATTAGAAATTTTGATAAGGAAACGAAGTGCTCTGTCCATTCTTCCCTCATTACTAACCGATCCAACCTTACTCCATTCTTCCTTGTTCAACAATTCGTACGTTCATGCCTCTCCTCTTTACAGTATACTTGTCCAAAAGGACAGTGACATCAACAATACTTACTCAGTGTCGAAGGCTTCCATTCCCAGTTGTAGTATTGATCGTTGAACATTTGTTCATCCATTTGTTGACATTGATAGTTTCGGAACACCAAATCACTGCTGGGACATGCCTGCGAATGAAGATCACAATAAGTCTTGTATGAACGTGATAGCAAAGGSAACAACAGACTCCTCAATTTTGTTTCATCTGTAATTGAACCATGGGATTAGAGTCGATATTTTAGTCATTTGACCGTGGTAAATCCAATGGTAGGAAGGTGCCGTGACCTTGACGGCGATTAGTAATTACACGCCTAGTGATTAGCTCAGTGTGTCATTTGAATTTCGCTTCACGTCATTTCCTGTCTCGTGTGGAATGTCCATCAGCTGAATCACAAGATTTCAATAGAATTCTTTCTGGTTGACAGCACATGGTGGTCAGTGTTTGACCACCATTTGAAGCAAATAATAAGAGTAAAAGGTTTTTATCAGTTGGTTGAAACCCAGCAGTTTCATTGCGTCACTATGCGTCGTTAAACTACTTACATCACTGTTGCAGAGTCTGTATTCTCTATCAGGACCTGAACACCTCTTGCCTCCATTTTGTGGCCTATGGAAAAGATCACAGATATTAACGTCCTTCTCTGTACTGTGTGAAAATAATAGACATAAGGTCCAACACCGGGTAACGGAAACCTATACTTAATACGGACACCCTTGCTTTGTCGGACACCTGGCTCTCTGGGTGTCCGTTTTAGCGAGGTCCGACCAGGATGACACTTACTGTGGATTGTTGCATCTTCTTTCTTTATATTGCACCCCTCCGCCACATGTTCGACTGCATTTGGAGTATTTATCCGACCATTTTGACCAGCCGCCATCTTTTGCTCCTGGAGCTTCTTGACCGACAGAAACACACTGGCCACGTCTACACCACTGGAAAGGAAGCATTAAAACATATTAAAATATTGTCTGATGCGCTCGATATAATGGTTGTTATCAGCATTATCGTCAGCAGCAGCAGCAGTAGCCTCGGCATGATTGCCAACGYTTTATCTATCAACTACCGCTGTACGTCTACAACGTCGTATTTATAAATTCCAGACGCTATCTCTTTTTTTCCTGGAGTCCTCTCAATTGAAAAAAAGGAAAAAAACAGCTTAATGAAAGCTTGAGAGGTACTTTGTTGTACGAACCGAGCCAAGTTGACCCTTCTGGTAAAATATCAATGGTCTATATCGCCAAGGTGCTATGGGGACAAATATGGATAAACTACAAGTTCACCTAATGTTGGTGGAAGGACCCAGAGATAAGTGTGCTGCTGGAGTAAATCATTGGGCTAAGCTTTGAGGTGGTTATGTGAGTATAATAATCCTTACCTTGCCTCCCCCACAAGAAGTACCATCCGCAGCAGGTACTTGTGCTGTTTTACATTGTCCACTACCAAACGGCACCTCACACCACAGCTTCACACAGATTTGCTGCAAAGAGAAAGTTACTTCATAAGCATACAAAAAATATCATAAAATGCTTCCATAATATTTAAAACAAAAAACGATCCTTGGGCCCACGGCAACTTAACGTTAATTTTTTTACATAAAATTGTGCGTTCTTTGCTTCCACAACTTCTCCATGGTATCCATATTGGAAGTATTTATGTCTTTTTCTTTTGATTATTTTGGAATATCGAGGTGCTCTTTACGTTTCTGTTGTTCATTTGGGCACAACTGCAAATGCTTGTTGTAAAGGTGGTAGGGTCACGTGACCCGTTAGTTCAAGTGGCTTATTGTCAAATTTGGAGAATTCCACATCCTTCGTTCAGCTCAAGTGTTTTACTTCTTTCCCAAAGCTGTGAGATACCTTAGGAATTACCGTATGTAAATAATAAAGCACTGCTTACGTCAAGGAACTTGTCTCCATGGCAATATTTAGAATCTTGCCCATAAGCCAGCTGGCACTGCTGGTCAGCGTCATACAGTCTGCCGGGTATATCAAAAGCTTGCGTGCTGATGACTTCACGCTTTGTGGGTGGATCATCCAGACATTTGGAGTCGTCAGATCTAAAAATCAAGAGGTTACATTTAAAGTTTGAGTAAAGGTCTTTGCTCGAAGCTTTCATCATCGGCTTTCCTTCTAACTCTGCAGGGCAGGAATTTTGCTTTTAGGAGTAAGTTTTTGATTTTGAGCTGTTACGATACCAGAAACAAAAGGGCCGAATGTGTTCCTTGATTACAGACTCATTTACTCAGGGTTGACCTCATTTCAGTGTTAAAATAATCACAAATATTAACAGCAAAGTACAGTATGATATTGCAACCATTCCTGGACAAAACCGCCTAAATGTGACCACTTAAATTTTTATGCACCTTTGACATTGTCACCCAACTAATTTGCCAGGATTTTGAATTGGTGTCTTTTTATAAGATTAAAGTAGATACTGTACGGATCTTTGAATTCGATACTCACGAAAGAAATTGCTGGAGGTAGTTCTTGCTGCAGTCTGACCACTGGAAGGCAGATACTTTACCCGGTGCAAAACTGGACATCACATTGGAGCCGTCATCACATTTGGATCCATCGTGGTTGATGCCAAGGCTGAATCAAAAATAGGGCATACTTAATTTGCGCGGGAATTACTGTAAAATGTCCCGCGCACAAAATGCCATGACAATCTGTTCTGCGGTGTTCTTAGTGACATATGCTGTCATGACCGCCACCGGATTTCCCACGAAATGACGGCGCCCATAATGACAAAAAATTTCACCCTAAAGTCTTTACATTTTTTACATTTTTCTTCTTGCTTTTTTCTCTTTCTTCCAGTGCTGGGCGTGAAGTGACTGTAGAGTTTGGAGTGAAGGAGTGAAGCGGCAAAGATAAGCTACTTTTTTACCAGGAGATTAAAATTATCGGTCTTCCCCGTACACTGCTGTAAGGTAGGGTAGAAGACGAATGTTGTAGTGCCCTGGCCATTCTTACCTGTGTCCTGTCTCATGTGCAATGGTCATTCCTAACATTAAACCATTGTCTTGGTTAACACTGGCTGAGTTAGGGAAGTTACACATTCCTCGTGTTCTAGTCAAGCCTAATGTATCGCACGGCTGATTCTTGTCTTTACAGATATTGTACCTTAAACAAGGACAAAATTAATATAGACTTGTTAGCTTTATATGAACCCTTGGAGCGAAATGATAGCATCTTTTGCACTTGAAAAAAGATTTGATGCTCCATGTAAAGTAGTGATGCCAGTCTCGAGATGCTGTGGGATACCTGGCATTGCATTGCCATTGTCTTTAAGTTTGCTTTTGATTTCTGCACTCACTAAGTTTCTTGCACCTAGTTTGAATTTTGATGCGCGATAAATGTGCCTCGCTGTCGCATCGGTAGGAGTTGCTTCCAAATGTCTTCCAAATTGACAGGAACAATACGATCGTTTTACACGAAAAAGAATTCAATTCCCGAGAGTACAGGGATTTTATTGTTCTGTCATCTAACCACAGGTAGTCCAAGCTGGATTATGGCGCCGGCACGTGATGGTGCAAAACCTCTATACATTATTTCACTAACCTTGTTAATAGAGCAGCATAGTCGTAGTGGTTCTCGTCGTTATCCAGAGGATTGTTGTTTCGTTCAGCCCACTTGCCAAAACTTTCCAGTGTATTCCCCGCATGGTGGTTGATAATCAGGCCAGGCTAAAAAGAAACGAACAAAACAAACGTTAAGTTTATGTTTGAAGCAAATATCTTGAATTTTTCATACCGTACTCGTTTGCTCAGAGACAGGAATTTCGTTGTCTGAAATATTTAGCAACTTCTTTCAACGTGGTTGCCATTTCATAACACTGGTTGCTCACCATTTTGCGAGGAACGTTTCAAGTCAAAAAACACTTTTATTATTTGACGGGAAAAGTATCAAGTTTATGAATGAATGACAACTTTCTTACTTGTGGTGTTGTTAATATCTGCATTCTGCTGACCACAAGGTTCACCGGGTTCTCCCCAAGACTGTTGTCTCTCAACATGTTGGCTGCCTGAAATCCATTAACGAAACAGAACAGATATGTATACGTCATTTATTCTCTTTATTATTGATTTGTATCCATTTACATGTCACGATTCAAAACCGTTTGATTCGACCACTCTTAAACTGACTATCTGTCTGTCTGTCTTTCTTCTTTCCTTCCTTCATTGCTTTTCCTTTTTTTTCCCTCTTCTTTCTTTCTTTCCTTTTTTTTTTCTGTAATCTTCCAATATTTTTACTTACAATGTTACAAGCAGTAAGTGCGTATTGTTTTGCTGCGTCTTCTCCGTGAAAGTTGGCCATCTTAGGATCGACAACAACCAACGATTCTATATACTTCTCTCCCCCAGGTCCTGCTGGGCCGTCCCGGTCGCTTATGGACGTTTCGTTGTTGAGGGATCTGGACAGTCGAATCTTTGGATCATCTGTTTGAGAAAGTAACTTTGAGTTTGTTGTTGAGGATAAAAAATGTTGTGTTGTACGAGCAATAGGCATTAATTGATAGCCAAGTTTAAAACACTCTTTATAGTGTGACTCTTAAATGGCTTTCCTATGCAAGCATTATGATTGGATAATGCCCTATTTTCCGCTTTTCGATTGGTTCGAGTTTAAAACATTCACAAGTGTGACCCTAAAGTGGCTTTTCTATATAAGTCATCTGATTGGATGATGCTCTTTTTCTCGCTTTTTGATTGGTTCATTTAGAGTGAAAGCCATTTCAGAGTCACATTTTGGTAAAATTTACTCTCAGGATGTGACTGAAATGATTTGAACTTAAGAACTGAAAAACTAGATGGGAATTTTTTCAGAAAAAAGTGAATGATAAACGTGAAAAGGAAGAGAATAATTTCTCACCTTCCGTCCCACAAGTATGTGTTTCTGTCTTCTCCTTCATGGCTGACCGTCTGTACCGTAAGTCCCACATGGGAGAAGCTCTACGGTATACTATATGAGGACGACCTTTACTTGTAAGCTTTGCTTTGCTATGTAAGTGGTCTGGGAGAGGCTCTATGACGTAAGCATTTTCGTCTGCATGAACCATACCACGCTGGAAAATATAGGGAAATTGGTTGGTGGACAATAGTTAGCTTTTGAACCCGGAATATTCAAGTTTCGAGTTCTCTGTTGCTCAGGGTTAGCCTCGATTTTTTSTAGAATATTCACRTGTTACAGTGAAGGTCCGTGGAATTTCAAAGTGTTTGTATTGTTGAAGTCTGCATTCTTTACTTTACCGTTGGTATTTGTGAATATTTAGACACTGAAATGAGGCTAACACTGAGTACGTGAGTCTGTAATCAAGGAACACAGCGGTAATTTGGGATCTCGTCTTACGCGGGGACGTTAATACCACGTCGAACAAACATGGCCGCCTGTGTTTGTCTTTTGTCTTTCTTGGGAATTCTTAGAGATATCGTTATCAAATTCGTTTACTTACTAGTCCACGACAGTTACTAACGGCCACAGTTGACCGTAATTTGGACCCAACTTTACCAATCCAATGACAGTTCTCCAATGTATGGCGCTTAATAATACGCCCTCCTTGGCCTAAGACTTCAACATGAAAATCAGGCGCTAATAATCGCCGGTTTCGTTGGAGCTTCAGGTGAAGATCGTCACCAAAGGCATTTAATTTATAATAAATGTCGTCGGTATACGGCGAGGTAGCGTCTCTGCGCTCTCGTAAGCTTTGTCTTGAAAGATCGTGCGTAAGAAATGCTCCTTCGGCGCTGACTTGCGCAGGATGAACGATGTCGTATTCTGGGACTGAGAAAATGGCATCCCGTTTTAAAAATAGCTATAAAGCGCATTTGGAATTTTATTAGAATGACAGGGATAGAGAAAGAGAGATTGAGTTGTTTACACAGATAGAGAGAGAGAGAGAGAGAGAGAGAGAGAGAGAGAGTGGCATCAGCGCTTTGCTAAAAAACATGGTAATTTGGCACACCGCAAAAATGTAACAGATGGTAATTAAGCGGGACCCAAGCAAAGTTTGGCGTTAGTTGCAGAGGTTGCGGCGCGCGAACGGGTACCAGATTATGCAACAGAGCGACGAAACAAACGCACAAGATGATCAACAAAATTCAACAAGTACACACATGGACAAAAACCGTAAACAGAGAAATGAAGAAGTGCACTAACAAACAAAATGAACAAACACGTAAACGTATAAGAAAACTAAAACATAAACGAAGAAACAAAAAAACAAATACATATATAAACAAACAAACAAACAGTTAAGCGAATAGGAATGTCAGAGGTTACATTTTCTACTGAGTATCTCACATTTTCCCACTGACGGACGTTTTAGGCAACATTTTGAATTCTTTCATCCTGTACTCACCATTACTATGCGTTTCAACTCCAAATATTTGAGATAAATCTCTTTTTGTCATGTGTCGGTGAACACCAGACTGATGATACTGAAAAAAATCTATGAGTTAGCCATGCCCTGACTTAGAAAAGCCAGGAGTTGTTTCAGGGTTCGATGTGTGAGTTAGCCATGCCCTGACTTACATCAGCCCAGAGGTTGTTTCAGGGTTTGATCTGTGAGTTAGCCATGCCCTGACTTAGATCAGCCCAGAGGTTGTTTCAGGGTTTGATCTGTGAATTAGCCATGCCCTGACTTAGATCAGCCCAGGGCCCAGTTGTTCAAAGCCCGATTAGTGCTAATCCTGGGTTAACTCTTAATAAGACCTAGCGCTAATCCAGCTTTGAACAACCCGGCCCAGAGGTTTAGTTTTAGTAAAACCACAGACCAGACCGTAATGGTTCAACTAACATAAATCGCTAAATATTTTGTTGCTGATCATAGCCTTGAATACACAAAACTACCCAGGAATTAGTTCGCATGAAATGATTTGACTTTTTGCGGTCATCACGCTCGGTAAATTTTACATGCGGTAAGACAATAAGCCACTCGTAGACTAAGGAATAAACTACTGCAATAGTTCGTAGTTCTAGTACTATCCAAAGGCTAAACTATTTTGTAAAATCAAGTATTTGTTTATTTTTTGATTATTTTGGAACAAATTGAAAAATACGTTACTGGTAGTACTTAAATCCTTCCAAAAATCGTGTCAAAAAAAGTCACGGTTCGCTGAAGCGAGTTTTTTTGCTCGCGTTTTTTTGTAAATTATCTCGAAAATGACCTTGTTGAAGTGATCCAATATCATGGGTGGATGATTTTAATGTTGAAAAAATTACTCCGATAAAATGTTCAAGATTTTCTCCTCCAAGTATATCCTTTTAATTCAATTAACTTATTAGTGAAAACAAGATAGAACCTAAGAAGTCTTTTTTATAATAATATTAGTATTGTATTATTTTGGTGATTATATTTTCATCTTTTTTTGTCAAATTTGAAATTTTAATTCTCGCCTCCATACTTGTTATAACTTGAAAGAAAGAGATGATTTTTGATACATATATCTAGCGTTTCACAGTGATTCTGTATTTGTTTAGTTGCAGAATAAATAGTCAGTCTTTTTTTCATTCATTTATTCATTTAATCAATTCCCATTCTTAGTTTTTTGAGGTTTTTTCCAGAAAGATTGTTGAATGTCTTCCGCAAGCTGAGGAATTCCCAAGAATTTTAAAATGAATCTAGCAATTAAAGAAAAACTACAAAGCCATTCCAAAGAAAAATGATTCTGAAAATTTCAATTGAAAGCTAGTCTGATAAAAATACAGTTGAAAGCTTTGTAAGTTTTTAGAATAATTTTCTTTTTCGTGAATTAGAAGTTAAAAGCGAACGTGTGACTGAGTTTGAGAGACCATTTCTAGCTTAGCAAGCCCAAATTCACATTTTCGCCTTGCAAATTCACAAAGGTTAAAAATTCAGATAAATGTTAAGTCTTACTTACGTTTGTTCCCTGGACATTTTGTAGTGTTATGGTAGTTAGGTAAACGACAATCCCAATATAATTTAACTTCCACATTCCATATAATGGTCCAGCCCCACTGCCCTCTCGCAGCGGGAATAATAACGTCGAAGACTTCCAAAAGAACAAAAACAAGTCAGTCATGTTGAACTAGGAAAAGACTAATGTTAATCCAACCATGTTCGCTTATTATTTCCAGACTGACCTAGTTATAATATTAAGCTAGTTTGTTGCTCAAATGGACTTAATTCGTTAGGTGGCAAATTTGACAATCTCGGATGTGATAAAGTTGGGGATTACGACAGACCGTATCCAAAGCATTGATTCGACCGTTATGTTATGGCATTAAATCTGTTCTTGTAAGTCTCATTCAGTATCTTTGGAGCAGATAGACGTCTAGTTGTATCGATAAGTTTATTTATATAAGTAGTATTTATGAGTTAACTCTTGCATGACAATTGCTATGAAAAACGGATAGGGATGCCAAGACGTATATATAACAATCTATCGAATGTGGTTGAATTTTACTTCAAAAAATATCAAACATCATTTTACTTACCTTTATTTTCGTGTAGAGAGTTCCCAGCGATTTCCGGTAATTTTTCTACCTTTTTAAAAGTATTTTAAGCCATATTTCCACCGAAGTAGAAATCGGAGCATCGGGTCAAACATTCTCTGTGTTTCTGATTAGCAGGACGTAACTGACCAATCAGATTTGATTCTGACGAATGATCGACAGGTGGCCATAATAAGAAGCCATTTAACGACAGTCAACTTCAAATATTTTTACTGGTCGATGAAGGAATGAAAACAAGACGAAAAATCAAAGTGATTAAATTCAACATTTTTCTATGAATCTTCAATAGCTACAATTTTATTTATTTCAAAATGCCTTAATTAAATTGTATTTGATATTTGACTGAACGAAATTTTTTTACCCGACCAAATATTTTTAATTTGTGTATCGAGTTCACTAAAGTTTTGAAAACAAACATCTCATATAAAATTCTTATTTAATCATCCAAGAAAAGTAGATAAGGTCATACATCCCGTATGACATCTAAAACAAAGTCGTTCCTGCCCTATTTCAGACTACACGGTTTTCTTTCCACTTCTAAACCCACAAGTTTTCCGCCAAAATATCCGTCGTTATTTAGATAATTTTGTAGTGATAAAACTACAACTTGGTTGTTCATGCTCTGATACGTTTTCWTCAAACCATGAGTGCACATGCCAAAATATATGAAGTTGAACAACTTTTATTTCTAAGAAGTTTCTTACAATTCCGAAACTATTCACGTTACGACTCGAATACAAGAATTCAACAACCTTGGAAAACTCTTTCATTTATTCAAAAAGTTATACATCAGTTAGAAAAATTTTATTGTCTGAAAGTATTTATTCGCTTCGATAATTCAGTAATATTTATAGTTTTGAAAACTAAATGGTTAAATGATTTCCATCCAAAGTGACGGGCAGCGGAGGATTTTATTCTCTCTGACAACAAGTTCAAAACACATGGGGGGGGGGGGGGGGGGGAAAAGGGGAAGACGGAAGCGCGTGACGTTGGACAGCATTGATACTAGGTCCGGTCGTACGAAGCCTGGATAGCGCCATCTGACGGATAAATCTTATCGAGTGG